TGTGTGTGTGTGTGTGTGTGTGTGTGTGTGTGTGTGTGTGTGTGTGTTCTGTTTCTCTGTTTGTCTATCTGTCAAGGTTCTCTTGGGATAATACCTTGCCCAGTACCACCCACAGAAATTAGACAGAGACACAACTTTGTCTGCAACTTTCCTACTCTCAGATGTCTAGGGATTGTAGATTCATTTACTGTGTGACCCTTCGATGAGAAGGCCAAAACTTCCCCCAGTGGCTTCACACCGTGGCAGACCTTGCTTGAGCTTTGTAAGAAAGGGGTTTGTTATTGAGGTATCCCCATATCTAGCTTTTGTGAAAGCCACAACTGAGGGTAAGGAGGGGTGGACTAGGTTTTGGTGACACAGGAGCCTGGGGAGAACAGCTTCATACTTGAACTGTAGCCGCTGACACCAGTCCTCTTTGTTCCCCATCCAGCTCTTAAGTGCTTCCTGCCCAAAAGCTCTCCCTGGCATTTTAACAGCTGCGCAAGGACCCCAGACGCTCAGCTGAGGCTCCGATTGCTGGGGAAGGCAGCAGTGACAGCGCTGTTGTTAAAGCTTGTGCTCAAGCAGCTGCTTCCTGCAGGCTTACTTCCCCAAAAGTCTCCTTTTCCAGCCCACACTTTTCATTTTCTTTTTTAGGCCATGATTACTGGAGAGCTGGATATCCTCAAAGACTGGTGCTATGAAGCAGTAAGTTTTCACATTTTTGATTTCTAGACTTTATAGAACATTTTGGAAAATTAAATAAATGTGAAGAACTACTAGTTGGTTGGGGATCTTAGGTTGCATTAAGAGAATTTTAGTGTCCACTACAAGGGAAAACATGAACAGGATGGAGCCTGTCCAGGGGAGGGCTGCCAAGCCAGCAAGCAGGCCCTGTGATGGATCAGGTGAAGAAACTTGAGGGTGCAAGGCTTAGGGTAGATGTGAGATCTGCCTTCAGGAATTTGGAGGGCTGTAGATGAGGACAAAGGGACTAATTAACTGGCTTACCATGGGCCCAGAGGGTACTGGGATTGGGAGCAGCAGAGAGAAGTACAGAAGCAGATTAACAGCTCACTGTAAGGAGGATTTCCCAATTATCTGAGCTTTCAAAGAAAGGGAGCCAAATGGAGCAATGGAGCAGACCTCCCTTTCATGAGCGATCTGCAAACAGAGGATAGGTGAGCACTGCTTAGGGCTGTCACTGCTGGCCACCAGAATGCCACCCAGCCATATGATCTGTGGCCTTCAGCTTTCTCAGGTTTTACGAAAGTACTAACAAACTACAACATCCCATCAAATACCAGAGATCAGAGGCAAAATGGGTCATCAAATACCAAATAAAACCTTGACCTCCAAACTATTTGCATTTTAACAAAATTACAAATTCTAACAAAACAGTCACAATAATAACTCATTTACAGTTTTTCTCTTTGAGAAAAAGAGCTGTCATTTCTATTTTTCCTGCAGTGCTATCTACAAGGCTTCCACAGACCTGCAACTTTTGGAGTGGCTCACCCTTTCGCCCCACAGATTCTCTAACCCACCCATGCCTTATCCTCTGGGAAGCTGTTTTCTGCCATAAATTCTCCATAGAATATCTACCCAGATTCCGTGAGCACTAGTCCATTTATTAAGTGGATTTGTTCTGTGAAGTTTGGATTCAGTCAAAGGGCCGCACTTGAAGACCTAGAGGGCCCCATGTGGCCTTAAGGCTGCAGGTTCCCCACCCCTGGAAGCCCTTCTGCTGACCATCTGTTACCCCTTGCTTTTACTTAGTAACTGAACCAGCTTTTCCAATCCTGTTTCCTCGACTGTGAAACTTCCTCAAGTCAGCAGTATGCTGTGTCCTCCTTGGGCCCACTGCAGCCTTCTCAAGATTGCCTTTTACATCACCCAATGTTTTGACTCCTTGAATAATGGAGTTTTCCAGAATTGATAGCTGTGTAGCATCACCAGGAAAATACTGTTATTAAAACAACTTGATTTGGGGTCATAAACCAAATTGAGGTAATTAAAAAGACCATGCAGTTTCTCAGATGCAAGCAATTCCTCTTTCTCCCCTTCGGTTCTGGGCCCAGTATGTTGTCCATCTGCTCAGTGCCACTCCACATTAAGTATAGTGAAGGACTGATTTGTTGATGCTGCCTTTCCAACTGCGCATGTGTTCTGGACAGTTGTCAGGTAGCGTTCTCTTTGTTGAGTGGATGGTTTAATTTACATGTAATAAACATTAAGCTGTATTGGTATATGAAGCTGTGTTCCCAGCACTGGTGGAGGTACAAATTTTAGGTAAAAATATAGCCCTTGCCTTCATGGAACTTAATATGAAACAACCTAGGAAGGCAGAAGGACTTTGAATATTGACATGGCAATGAGCTGTGTGCCAGAGGACCAGCCCAGTGAAGGGCAGACAGACCCATCACCATCAGCTGAGGCTACTCAGGAGAGAACCTGCATGCCTGAAGCAGAAAAGGGGTGACTGCTTCAGGATGCGTGGCGTGTTAGTGTGGACAAGCCCCTCTGAGTCTTTGTAGGTGATACCCTGGGGACCTTCCTCACTCTTCTGAGCTGGGTTGTCCTCAGACAGCAGCATCACATGTCCCGCTTGTTCAGAACTGACAGATCTTACATCCTGCTAGCACAGCCTTCTAAGATGCTCATGTTCTATTGGTGGATATGATGGGCACATGGATAAATAAACACAGAATGTTTTTAAAAAGTAATGTAAAATAATTTCAAGAGGGAGAGAGCAGTGCCGGCTGAGGGGATCAGCACATGCCTTATGTGTTGGACTTGTTACCTTAGCTGAGACGTGGAAGAAGCTCAAAATTCCAAGAGACAGGTAGAGGTGAGGAGGACACATAGCCCACATGTGGGCAAGGTGCTGTGCCAAGGCCTGAGGTTATCATCTCTGTTTAGTGGGGATTCTTTCGAGGGATGGACTGGACTAAGGCCCAGTGCCCTTTCCACTCTGAAATTCTGTGAGATTCAGGTTGTAAAAGGGCAGCATCAAACAGGCAAGTTTGATTGGAATGGAAAGTGTGTGGAGGGAATAATATGAAATGAACTTTGGAAAGTAGGTGAGAGTCAGAGTGTGGAGAACTTGAAATGATTTTTGTATTTTGTCCCAGAAGTGATAGGGAGCCACCAAAGAATTTTGAGTTGAAGGGGCAGCTAGGTGATACAGTAGATAGAGCTCCAGCCTTTGAGTTAGAAGGACCTGAATTCAAATGTAGCCTCAGACACTTCAAACTTACTAGTTGTGTGACCCCGGGCAAGTTACTTAACCCCGATTGCCTCACCAAAAACAAACAAAGAATTTGAGTTGAGAGTGACAAGGACAGATCTATATTTTTTAAATATGACAGTTGTAGAGGATGGATTAGGTATAAGGGACCATAGAAGCAGAGACCAATTCAGAGGCTGTTTCAGTAGTCCAGCCTGGTGAGGAGGCAGTGAGGACATTAATTAGAGTAGAGGCTGATTGTGGGGAGATAGCATCAACAAGATAAGGAGAGGGAAGAGTCAGAGGTGAGACTGAGTGACTGAAAAATGGTAGCATTCTCAACAAAAATGGGGAAGTTGGGAGGGGGGATAGATTCTGGAGTGGAAATGAGTTCTGTTTTGGGCAAGGTGAATTTAAGGTACTTGGGTGATATGCAAGTGGAGAGGTTTAGCAGGTAGCATTGTGGAATTGGAGTTCAGTAAAGAAATTAGGATTAGACACACAGATTTAGGTGTCATGGCTGGGGAAAAGCGTGGTAATTAAGGAAATGAAACTTAGAAGGGCCAACAGACAAGTGGGAGGAAAACCAGGAGAGAATAGTGTCATGGAGACCTAGGTGTTCAGCAGTGTCACAAACTGCTGTGACTTAGTGGTGGAGATCATCGGTCACCTTGAAGAATGCTTCCAGGTTACGAGAGAGAAGAGAGGAAATGGAGGTAGCAACTGTAGACAGCTCTAGGATTTAGATTGTGAAAGGGAGGCAAGACATAGGTTGATAGCTTTGGGGATGACTAAATCAAATGAGCATGTCCGTAGTCTGAGGAAAAGGAACTGGCATATGTGGTAAGGGGCAAATAGGTGTTTTTCTTTTAGCAAATCTGTGCTCCATTCCAGCGTTCTCAGATGTTTGAGGGCAGAGGGGTCTTTAGCATTGCTTTCATCAGAGAATGCTCACAGACTCCTGGAAAAAGCAGTCTGGTTATCTCCTCTCACTTGTCCGTTTAGCAACTGAAACTTCTCTCTCCCAGGTTCCTGAAGACATCAGGCCTCATCCTTTTCAACCTCTCTTTAGCCCTTGACACTGTCACCCCTCCCTCCTCCTCACACTCTCTTCCCTCAGCTTCTGGGTCACTCTTTCTTGGTCCTCACACCTCTGTAACCACTCTTCACTGTCTTCTGCTGTATCATCATCCTCTTTCTACCTCCTGATCCTTCTTGGACATTTCAAGTGGCTCAGATTCATCAGTCCAGAGCAGAGCTTGTTCTCTTTCCCAGCTTTCCTCTTTGAATTTGCTTATTTCTCTTGAGAGCACAACCATTTTTCAGTCTCTCAGGGCTGTAACATCAGCGACCCATTGACTCCTCATTTTTGCCCAGCAGCTGCCAAATCCTGTCATTTCTGCCTCCATCAGCTCTCTTTTCTTTCCCACTTCTCACTGCTCACAAACATCCCCTTACATCACCTCTCACCTGTACCCGGACTGTTGTGACAGGCACCTAAGTGATCTTCCATCCTCACCATCTCTCCCCTCTCCAATCTCTCCTTGGGGCTGCCAGGGTGACTGTCCTCCTGACAGATTTGACCCTGTCATTCAGCTAATCAGTAAGCTGTCCCTCTTGTGGAATGTAAGCCCTTGTGGGCAGGGACTAGGCCCTTCTGTCTCTGGTACTCAGTACCATGTGTGGAACAGATACGTGCTGGTGAGGGGGGAAGAAGCAGGTGGGCATGTGTCTCTCTCTGGGTCTAGACTAGTTTTGTGAAAGCTGTTCTTCTTCTGCCCTCATGGTGCCTCACCATCGAGGTGTCTTTGTTTCCTGGGCAGATGCCCCTGGCAGGAGAGAGGATCTTTACAACAGGCGAAACAAAACACCACAGAGGAAAGAGCCCTGCTCTCACTGGGTTTCTGCAGCTCCACGTATCTGATCTGTGGGTGTCATCACCAGATACAACCAGCAGGGGGCCTTCCTGTACCGGTCATGTTCTGTGACTAGCATCCAGCCATTCTTCTTCCTTGACCCTCTTTGTGAAGCTGCTGTGGCTGTGAATTCATCCCCTTGTTGCCAACCTGGCACTGTGTTCTTAGCGTGGTTGGTCCTCAGACAGCAGACTTCATGTGTCCTCAAGACCCTGGTCAAAGCTGGTCCAGCTTATTAGGACTTGAGTGAAGGCAAGGAAACTCAGGAAGGAGGGATATGCAGAAATAAAGAAAGGGACAGTGCCGTAAAGGACAAGACTCAAGTACGCCTGGGTCCTGATGCACAAGATCTGTGAGTCTGATCTGCCTACCCAGGCCAAAAGTCCATCCCATTATTCTGTGTCAGTGTTCTCAGAATACTGAGAGGTTAGTTTAATAAACTAAACTTAGTCACCTCCCTAGTTGCAGAGTGATTACGTAGTTGACTCAAAATCCATAAAACTACATATAAATTGATATCAAATAATTCCCCTGTGAAAAAGGGGGTTTAATGAGGTTGTCTTCATTGCCCGATTGCAGGGGCAGCATAGGAAAGGGTAGGGGTGGGGGTGTACTGTATGGGATAGCCTAGTAGCAATAATAATAATAACTAACATTTATATAGTGTTTACTGTGTGCTAGGTGGGCAGATAGACAGCACAGTGGATGGAGTTCCAGGTCTGAAGTCAGGAAAATTCATCTTCCTGAGTTGAAATCTGTACTCAGACACTTACTGGCTGTGTGACCCTGGGCAAGTCACTTAACCCTGTTTGCCTCAGTTCCTCATCTGTAAAATGAGCTGGAGAAGGAAATGACAAACCATTCCAGTATCTTTGCCAAGAAAACCCCCAGTGGGGTCACAGAGTCAGACAGGACTGAACAACAGCAATGTGCCAGACGCTGCTAAAAGCTTTACAATTATTATCTCATTTGATCCTCACAACAACCCTGGGAGTTAGGTGCCATTAATATCAAATTTCAAATAAGGAAACTGAGGCAGAGGTGAAGTGACTTCTCCAAGGTCTGTGCTAGAAAGTATCTGAGGCCAGATTTGAACCCAGGTTTTCCTGACTCTAGGCCCAATAGAGGGAAATCAGGGGAACTTTAGTTCCTACCTCTTCCCCCAAGATATATCATCAGTAATCTCCCTGTAGTTCTTTGATGTGTTACAGCATGACCCATGCCCTCAATCTTCAAGCTTCCTGATTTAGCCTTATCCCCTCAGAATTTGCTCTTCTCCTCTTCCCCTGTGTCTCATCCTACCCAGCCTTGGTTCTCTGCTTCTTCGGATTAAGCAACTTCAAATCTGTTCTGGCTAATTTTGCGCTGTGCTCATCTCATAAACAGTGGGGGAAAACAGGAGGAGATGTCAGACCTTTGAAGCCCTCCTCTGCATTGTGACTAATACAAGATGCTTTGTGTGAGAGGCTTGGGGTTGGCTAAGATGGCTGAATATCTTTGTTAAAATGAGAGAAGATGACTGTGCCAGTGAACCTATTGGTAGGATGGAGGCTACTGAGAGGAAGTTTTAAAAGTAACATGTAAGATGAGCTCTTGTTTCTCATAAGACTGAATTCTAGTTAGAGAAAAATACATGTAGCACATTCTTGTTCTCACTGCCAGCAGCTGCCTTCAGAACTCAGACTCCTGTCTAGACCCCAATCAGGCCACTCTGGGGGCTGTCAGAGCAAATGAGCTGCCACAGGTTTGAGGTTAAGATGGAGAACAAAGAAACAACTTTTACCATTTTTAGTCTAATTGAATTCATTTGATCTTTTCTCCAGGCTGTCACAGGGTTTGCTTCACTGCAGTCTGCCTCCCTCTCCCACATGCCTCCCCCAAACCCCACTGAAATATTGGTGCCTTCCTCCCATGTCCACTTTTTTGAAATGATGGTGACCCTGCTTCTGTCTTACTTGTGTCTTCTTTCTTGCAGACGTACAATCAAGTAGCTCATCCCATCCACCAGGCAAAATCCATGGGCCTGCAGTTCCATTCCAAGATTCTGGACATTAGCAATGTTGATGTAAGTCCCTTAGGTTTTCTCCTTGCTATACAGAAGTCAGCTAGACTCATAGGACTCTAATGGACCTTTGAGATCTCCTAGCCCAGGGGATCTTCACCTGGGATCTGTGAACTTGTTTTTGGTTTTGTTTTTTTAATATTTTGATAACTATTTCAGTGTAATTGCCTTTCTTTGTGGTCCTCTGTATTTTACTTTATGCATTTTAGACATCTGAGAAGGGGTTCCATAGATTTCATCAGACTTCCTAAAGGGTCTGTGAAACAGAAACGGTTAAGAACAGCTGGTCTAGGACAGGCCCCTTGTCTTACAGATGAGTGGGATGAGGCCTGGAAGAAGGGCTATGACTTGCCCTCAGTCATGAAATAAGTTACTGGCCTAGCTAGGACCTAACCCCGTGTCTCTGAAATGCGAGCAGTGAGTCGGTGTTGCACAGAACCATATTTGGGATCAATGTAAGGAAAAGTTGCCAAGAAATTAGCCGCTCAGTGTTGAATTAACTGCTTTGGGAAGTACAGAGTTCTAGACTAAGTTGTAAAGGGAAGTCACAGAGAGGATTCTTGCTTAGGTGTGCGTTGGATTAGATGCCCTCAGAGGTCCCTTCCCCCTCTACGACCCTATGGCTCCAATTCCTACCTGGTACCTCACACTCTCCACCCCCAGCTTAGCATGGGCTTGTATATTTTAGGACTTCTGAAATGATTGCAGCTTCAGCCTTTGTTCCCAAAGGAGCCCTTAAACCAGTAAACTTGATCTCGGCATTGTAAAGAGGAATAGCTTGGCTTTCGGAACAACAGCTGCTAGGCAAGGAGTGTCTGGGCCCATTTCTTATAAGAAGGAAGTATCCTCTCGAGCGTCGTGGCTCCTCGGAGACCTGGTTCCACCTGGCAAGTCTGGCCCAGGGGAGGAGGCCCATTGAGACATTACGATCTATTCTTTGCCCACCCGGAGTAGTTGTGACCGTCCTGCTACTGGCTTTTCCTGTGGCAGGCAGCCAGGATTTACAAACTCAGAACTGACAGGTGTAGCTCAGGGTTTTGTGTCCATTCTCTTGGGCCCCACACATCAGTTGAAATGAGGGCAACTGCATCTGTCCCCTCTCCTTCTGGGTTTGTCATGAGCCGCTGGGAGGAGGACAATGCTTGAAATGGGGCTGGCAATGGTGAGATCTCTTTTTTGGATCAGGAACAGGGCAAGCATCGTGTCGCCCAGGTAGCGATACCTGCTGCTTGGTGTAAGAGGAAACACTTTAAAATCAGTCAACCTGAGCAGGGAGGGCCAAGCCTGCCTGTGTCCCCTCCTCACACAGGCTTGAGCTCAGCTGGATCTTGGCACCTAAGACCCTGGAGAGAAACCTGTTCATTTTCTCTCCAGAACTGGAGTCACTGAGTCACTGGTTACTGAGCCCTAAGTTTCCTTTTGAAGCAGGGGTCCTTAATCATTTTTGGTTCCTGAACCAAAATGAGTCTAGTGAAGCCTGTGGACCTCTTCTCATAATAGTGTTTTTAAATGCATAAAATAAAATTACAAATGAAGCCAGTTCTATTTCAAATATTCTGTCCAATTCTTGGATAACCCCGGGCTGAGAACACCTGTTCTAAAGGGGTTTGGGATAGTGTTCTTGGACTCTTTCTGGCAGCATCAGGAGCTTTGGATAATTTTTTTTTTAATTTCTAAAGATTGTAGACCCTGCATATATTTGCCCTGAGCCAAGTTCAGGCCTTAGGCGTCCAGGACCCAGAGCCTCTAGGTGCTGGACTAGTTCTAAGGTCACAGGGCATGGAGTGCCTCAGGACACTGATCTCTGACTCTTCTTACAGGGCATGGAGCCTGCAGGCAGAGCACTGAAAAATGGCTTGCAGGTAGTGACCAGACCTCCCTAGAACGTGCTAGAAAATTCAGTCATTCTCATTAACCCTTTAACTGCAGGAATTGAGGGAACTTCTCCAAGGTCTCTCAGAAAATCCAGTATAATGAATGGTGATTAGAAAGGCCTGGCAGTCATTGACCTTGGGGCCTGCAACAGGAGACTGAGAGGTGGGCCTGGGGTGGAGGCATCATGTGAAACCCAGGAACATTCTCCTGTGACTGAATGGGGCGACAGAGCCAGTCACATAGGGATGCCCTCTTCCCAATCTCCCCCAATGTGTGAGCTGGGCTCAGAGCTATGTCCTGTCCCTGAGCCTGTCAGCCAAGACTGAGAGCTTGTGCTGGCTGCTTCAGAGCTCAGACAGAGGGTGGAGTTGGGGGTTGTGGATGCCAGGAAGGAATTTGCTGAGAGAGGTGTTCTGAAGCTCAAGATAAGAAAGATTAATGGGGAGGGCTTTGCAGAACAAAACCTGCTGAGCCACCAAGGAGTGATGTAGTGTTTTTGTAGGTTGTCACTGTGAAGTATGTAAAAAAGGGAGTCTGGAAGTCCCTGGTAAAGAGCATCATGGCAGCATTACCAGAAGCTTTCTGATGATGAGGGAAATGCAGTCTGGCTTTGTGCGAAGGCTGGTCAAGGGGCAGGCTGTTTGTGTGATCCTTTAACAGATCCTTGCAGCTGAGCAGGAGACAAGAAGGACTGCCTCATTTTCCCACTGCTGTCACTTCCTGTGGCAGCAAGGGTAGACATTTCTCATCACTACAAAAGCTGTAGGTCTTATGTTTTTTTCTTTGGTTTGCCTTCCCTGCAGCTGGCGATGGGGAAGATGATGGAACAAGGACCGGTACTAATCATCACGTTCCAGGCACAGCTAGTGATGGTGATCAGGAACCCCAACGGGGAGGTGGTAGAAGGAGACCCAGTAAGTAAAGGCATAGGAAGGACGTCAGAACTGAAAGGGGCTCATGGTATTGTTCATATGAGGAAACTGAGGCCCACAGATCTGGCAGTGGACCCCAGATCTCCTGATTTCCCAAATCCAGGCCCCCCCTGCTAATGAATCCATATAGGCTCTAGTGATCTCCTAGTGCCCAAGCCTGACTCTAGCATAGCTCTTTGGCAGTAGTGGCCCATCTGGTTTTCAGATTGGATCAACAAGTCTTCATGGATGATTGACTGGATGTGTCATTGGTAGCCAGGGAGGACTGGCTACTCTGTGGCCTTATTGCTCCACGGCCCCTCACTTGTTCCGGTGCAGCTAAGCCAGGTATAGGAAGAATGAGCAACATTCTGGTGTGCCCTCTCGGGACAGATGTCCCATTCACTCACTCAGCACCTCTTTCTTGAGAACCTCCTCTGTCCCCACAGCCTCCTGATAGGTTCGGCCCTAGCTTCAGCAGGGAGGCTGACCTTGAGGAAAGGGGCTGCCTCCAATGTTTTGAGAGCTGCTCTCCATCAGCTGCCTCATGAAAAACACAAGGGGGATCTTAACAATCTGTTAAAGAGGAAGAGTTAGCTAGTCTGCTCCCTGGACTCCTGTTTAGATTCTATTTCACTTTTCCACAATAAACACTGGTTATGTTTTTCTAACTTCCAGAGAAGATACATCGTCACTAATGCCCGACCATGTTTTAATGACCCGAGTTCTCCTTTAGAACCGCCCCAGACCCCACCTGATGCGGTTGGAGCTCCCCTATTTGATGACTTTTGGAAATAGTTCCTTTTTACCATGTCAGAACCATATGAAGTTTCCCTTTAGGTTTTTCACCTCTGGGAAAATGATCCAATTGTTTTTCTTAGAAGGCCTCTGCCTTTGTCTTGGACCGTAGGAAATATGGTTTGGGGGATAAGGGCAGCCCAGGGAAGGTGGCTTGGAAGCACACCAGCTTGGGCTTCACAGAAGCCCTCATCAGCACCTTGGTTTCCATCCAACTGAGAACTTAGTGACTTGGGGATTGGATTTTCTACTTCTGGTTTGCTTGTAGCTTCATCAGGGGCTTGGATGGGGTTTCGTTCCTCTTCTTGCCTATCCTTCCATCCCTAACTGTATGTCTCAGTTGCCTAATTCCCAAGATGCAGAGGCTCATGCCATCTCAGGAATGGTGGGGAGAATGATCCAGCTGAATAGTAGCTGTTTTGAGTAAAGGGCCACCCTCTGGTCTCATCCCTTACAGGTCAGGCCCTGGGCCTCAGCCTGGAGCTGTCTGTCCCAAGGCCTTCCTTGCATTCTGTGACAAAATGTCATCTATATAAAACGGCACCTCATCGTGAGTTAGCTCAGCACTGGCATCTGAGGATCTCTGCCCATATAGCCTGGTATCAGGCTCCATCAATTTTCTTTATCCCTTGACCTCTTACTTCATGATGTTCGCAGCGAAACCGAAATGGAATTGTTTGGTTCCCAGTAGCTGGTGAGTCAGATAAAGCTCAGAGTAGTTCAGTCCGCTCTTAGGCAGCAGAGATTATATTCAGGCCTTGGTACCTAGAAGAGCTCTAGAAGGACATGAGTCCTGTCCTGCTTCCGTGAACTCCATGTTTCTCTTTCAGTTTTCAGAGTGAGCTCCGCTGTGGCCACCCATTGCCGAATAAGGGGGTCAGCGAGGCCGTTGCTGGTCGCAGACCAGAAGCGCTGTGCTTGAGGCTGGGAGTCACATAGCAGATCCATTATCCTAGTTCAGATATTCAGTAGTAGCTCTGTGATTAAGGGGTCCTAGATGTAGAGTAGAGGAGGGGTTCAGGGGCCATCTAGGCCAACACCCTCAATTTCCTCTTCTGTAAAATGGCGATAATATTTGGAGTATTACCTCAAAGTGCTTGAGAAATGTAATGAATACTTAACTGTAGCAAACTGAAATGCATTCCCTAGAAAATATATAAATCATAGAGCTATGGAATTTTAGAGCTGGAAGGGACCACCTTCTCATTTTACAAAAGATGAAACGGAGGCTGATAGAATGGTGCGAGAACTGGCCTCACCAACCTCACTGACTCAGTGTTAGACCTGGGACTTAAACCCAGGGTTAGTGATCCATGCCAGTGTTAGGCCTGTTGAAGAAGGGCCCGGTTCTGGTCTTGGTTCTTTCTAGTTACAGCAGCTGGAAGACAAAGACGTAGAGGTGGGTAGAGAAAGACCTGGAGATGAACCAAGGCAGAGGCCAAGAGTAGGGCAAAGAAGACCTAAAATTTAGGGGTACAAAATTGTTTACAGTTCACCCAGTCCAATGAGGAAAATGAGACACAGTCACAAAAGTAGCAGGGTGGTTGGCTGGCCCTCTGTTTCATGAGCAGTGAAGGTTTTAGTACCGGCAGGCACCTGCGGATTGGTGGCTGTTGCCCCTTACCCGACATTAGCTTTGAGACAGCTGGCTCCCCTTCTCCCCTCTCTGTGCTCCTGCAGTCAGTTGGCCTCTCATCATCGAGGGCTTTTATTCAGGAGCTTGGCATATTTCCCAAGGGATGTCAGAGGCAGCTTTGGCAGCTACCTTGGCTTTTTTTTTTTTTTAATCCATCAATACATTTGGTCTCAACAGACACTTCCCAACAAATGCTCAGCCTATCCCTCTTCAGCCCCCTGTAAGCACATTTCCTGAAAACAGTTTAGCAAAAGCACCCGGTAGAATGTTTGGTACTAATAGTACTTGTCACCTTCTATTTTTTTAGTTTACAAAAGATGTATGTGGACATCATCTTTGATGGTCCAGTCAGTTGTGCTGTGGTCGAGTTTTATTGACTTGTATTTTTCTTTCTTTTGTCATAGTTTTTGTCTTTTTCTTTCTGCTTTGCCTTCTTTACCTTCTTACTATTCGTACCCGTCTTGCCTAGTTTTTCTTCATTCTTCATATTCATTCAGTATAGTCCATTACATTCATTTGCCACCGTCTGTACTTCCTTTTTTTTCTTTTCTTTTTTTTTCTTTTTTAGGCAGTTGGGGTTAAGTGACTTGCCCAGGGTCACACAGCTAGTAAGTGTCAAGTGTTTGGTCTGAGGCCGGATTTGAACTCGGGTCCTCCTGACTTCAGAGCCAGCGCTTTATCCACTGCACCACCTAGCTGCCCCTACAGTCTGTACTTCCTCAGTCTTTGTGATCACATATTAGGCTTCAATTGGTGGGCTTGTTGAACTTTGCTGTCAGTAACTTCCTTGGGAAATAAACTGGATCCTGAGATCTCTAGGTCAAAGGGAACAAATAACTTTTCCAGGTAACTCCAAATTGTTTTCCAGAATTGTTAAGCCAATACACAGTTCCATGTGCAGTGAATTTAGCATACTTGTCACCTACCCTATAGTCCCTCCAGCGCTGATCATCCCTTTCTTCCCTCATTTGAAAGCTTTAAGTTTGTATTTCAGAGTTGTTTTAATTTGTATTTCTCTGATTGTTAGTAATACTGAAATTTTCCAAATGATTATTGATTGTATTTCTTTTTGAAAACTTTTCACATACTTTGATCACTTATCTGTGGCTCTTAGTCTTAAAATCTGTCAATTCCTTATGAATTTTGGGTGGCAGACTTTTATCAAATATGTAATGAAAAAATTCCTGGCTACTCCAGCCCTTGACGTACCTTCTCATTTGCTTCAAACAATAGCTCTGTGAGGGAGGTAGGACAGGAAGGGACTATTATCTCCATTTTACAGGTAAAGAAATCCAGACTCAGAAAGGATAAATTAGAAGGTTTAGTCTCCCCCTTGCCTGAAATGTGAACTTAACCACTTAGACTATGACTGAGTCAGGACTAGAACCCAGACCTTTTGATTGCCACTTCTCTGGCCTTTCTACTATACCATACTCCCACTTTCTAATAATAACGATATGATAATGATAATTAGCATTTATATAGCGCTTTAAGACATCCAAAGTACTATACAAATACCATTTAATCTTTACAGTAACCCTGAGAGGTGGGTGCTATTATTCCCATTTTTTGCAGGTGAGGAAACTGAGACAGGGAAGAATTAAGTGACTTGTTCAAGGTCAAATAGTAATGTCTGAGGCAGGATTTAGACTCGGTTTCCCTGACTCCATATCCACTGGCCCAACTAGCAGCCTTCTGACATTGCTATGTCTTCTGAGAGCTCGGAATGTCCAGTTGTAGAGGCTGGTACCGTTCTTGGAACAGCCTCATATGGGGAAGGCATTGTGAGGTCATTCTAGGAGATAGACTGTGTCAGGGGCTGGTTGCACTGTTGTCTGATGCCTGCCGAGAGGCAGAGGGAAGAGGAGAGAACCTACCCTGTCTTTAGGGCCACACTTGAGAGGTGCTGGGAGGATGTGAGGAAAAAGAAAGTGGTGGCCTGGAAGCCAGGCAAGGTGGGAGATTGTGCAGAGCCGGGAGGCCTTGAGAGGGAGCAGCTGCCTGAAGGGGGGCTTTTCTCTGGCTCTTTCTGCTGGTGTCTGCCCCCACCATTCTGAACTCCTAGAATTCTGTCCCCAGAGATGCTGTTTTACAGAACTGTGCCATTCTCCAGGCTCATCTCCTAGACTCTAAGAACTACGGTATGTCAGATCTCGGGGACCCTTGGGTTCCTTGCTGAACACCCTCTTTGTATAGAAGGAGGGTCCTGAGCACAGAGAGGCCATAGCCGTGGGCACTTACTGAACAAAGTGAGTGTCTCCTCCATCCTCCCTCAACATCTTGGGAACCCAGAAGTCTTTGTTTCAGGATGTTTTGCCTGATTTGTATGTTGAGCACCTGAGACGATGTCCCCTAAACCATAGTCCTCGAAGAACTGACCAGAAATTCATTTCCTTTCAGCAGACGTTAATCCAGGTGCAGGGGATACAGAGACAAAAAAGGAAACAGCCTCTGCCCTCGGAGGTTCCATAGTAGTAAGGATGACACCAACATGTGCATAGATAAATAAACACAGACTCTTGGACAGAGAATGATGAAGAGACGGGATCAGGAGAGGCCTCATGTGGAAGTGGGGCTTCCAAGAAGCAGTGCTGGGGGGTTGGCATATTAAAAGACATGGACGCAGGGCATGGAGTATCCTCTGAGAGGGGCCAGCAGGGAGGCTAGTGTGGCTGGAACACTGACTGCATGAGACTGCAGCCAGCATCTTGTCTCCCTCAAAACCAGACAGCACCTGAAAGGACCAAGCCTTGTCAGGTTGGACACAGCAGGATTGACTCTCACTGCCACTCCTTGCTGTAGTAATACTGGTTGAACGTCCAATTTCTCAGTTTTCTTGACTGGGGCATATGACAGTCTGTAGCCCCACAGGCTATCTGTTTCTTCTTGGGAGTCTGCTGGCTGGCCACCTGTGTGCCCAGGCGGAGTAACTGAGGAGAGCATTCTAGTACCTGGAGATAGATAGAACAAAGGAATGGATGTGCCATTTAGCCTCCTGATCCTCAGTTTCTTCATTTGTAAAATGGCAACTGAGCTCCCTTCCAGCTCTTAGATCTGTGATTCAAGACAACAGCAAACTCATTCATTTACTGGGCCTTGGCTGGGACATGAAAGTCAAATGTAAGTTATATACGATAAATCGCTAATAGCTCTACATTGGGAGCACAAAGATTCCATCTGGCATCAGAGGGGTGGTGTGAGTGCAGCCTTGGGGTCTAGCTCTGGTAGGAAAGCAGGAGGATGGTTTGGGTAGCACTATGGCTGTGCTCTACAATGATCCCAAACATATTTTTTCTAGTCCCTTATGGAATTGTAGATCATGAGTTAGTCTAACCAGGGGTGGGGAACCTGTCGGGTCCTTGGCTGCAGCCTTTTGACTGAGTCTGAGTTTTACTGAGGGGATTTGCTCTGTGAAGTTTGGATTCAGTCAGAGGGCTGCACCTGAGGCCCAGGAGGGCCACGTGTGGCTTCGGGGCCGCAGCTTCCCCACCCCCGCAAGTGGTGCTCTGTCGCTGCCTGCGTGAAGCTGACAAGAGAGCTTGCTTTTTTTTGCCCGGGTTCCCCTGGTGACAAGTTGGATGTCCCTGGATGTCCTTTCGGCCTTTCACGTGCCACAATGAAGGAGTTGGGCTAGGCGGCATCCCAGACTCCTTCCAGCTCTGCTGTTCTGCGATTCGGCTTCTTCTTTCAAGTTTCAGGGAGTTAGCCTTGTGCTCCTCATGGAGTTCATTCAACCTCTCTGTAACCTAAATAATGTAGAGGGGTTTTGGATTCTCCTTCCTGGGCCCCGCCTGTCTTCCTGGCAGTCTGTCTGTTTCCTGTCCTATTACTAGACCTCCCCATTGGTGGACAGATGAGGATTTTGTAAGCTGGGTTCCCATTGTACTTGCTGGCCTTTGGGCTTATTGCTGCTGGGACTGCAGAACCTAATTACTCTGAGAGCTCAGAGCCCCGCCAGCACGCTTAGGATCATTTTCACTAAATGCACAACTTCAAGTTTGGCCACGCTGATGCTCACATGCCACCCTTGCACCCACTCACACAACCTGGCAAAACCTTCCTCCACTTTATTCTCTTCAGGATGCTCTTTGAGAAGTTAGTATCCTCTGCATACCTGGTGATACCACTTCCATTGATCCCAGGAGGGAGGGTTTCCCCAGGCCATAGCAAGGATCAGTTGCAGGAATTGGGTCTATTTAACCTTGAGAAGCAATAACTTAGTGAGGGAGAACAGGCACTCTGAGTATTTGAAGGGCTGTCCTACGAAGAGGTAGAATGAGTTACCATCACTGGAGGTGTTTAAGTGGAAACTGGATGATCATTTGTTGAGAATGTTGTAGACACATGTATAACCAGTATCAGATTGCTTAATGTCTTAGGGAGAAGGGAGGGGAGGGGAGGAAGGAGGGAGAGAATTTGGAACTCGAAATTTAAAAAAAATAATGTTAAAAAAAATTTTACATGTAACTGAGGGAAAAGTATTTTTTTAAAAAGAGACAGTGCAGTAGAGGGGATTACTACTAGGTTACAAGTTGGACTGTTTCAGAATTTCAGTTTGCAAGATCTGTCTCAACAGTCTTTCAGGTCTCATGGGGGCTCGGTTTTGACAACAGTAGAATTTTCACTGGTCTACTCAAACGAACTAGTTCTTGCCACAGCACCTGCCACTTGGATATGAAGCTGCAGAACTCCCAGAACGTTAGGTGCTTGGTGCAGAGCTCATCCTTCCTGGGAGAGGTTCCGGTTCTGAATGTGCTTTCTTTTCCTCCAGGATAAAGTGTTGCGTATGCTGTACGTGTGGGCACTCTGTAGAGACCAGACTGAGCTCAACCCTTACGCAGCCTGGAGGCTGCTGGACATTTCAGCCTCAAGCACAGAGCAGATTCTCTGAAGACAGCTGTTGGGGACCTGCTGGACTGTGCTTTGTTGTTCTCCCAGCAAGGGCCCCACTACTGTCAGAAGCTTCAGGATGCAAGACCATTTGGCTCCTGCAGGGTACTTGTAACCCCCCCTTTCCAGGATCCAGTGTGAAAGGAGGGGGGGGAGGGAAGACTGGGGACTGGATGAGATAAGGACATGAGAAAGTTCCCCTTGGGGAATGCAGTTGCCTCAGAGGGGTGGTGTTGGGGACATGGTATATGAGCAGGGTAGCTCATAGGGTCCCAGGTTTATAAGGTTAAGACTGTCGCAGAAGAAGCCTGAGGCCTGGTACACTGTTGTCTCCCTCTTTCCTGCATTGGGCCCAATAGGTGGATCCAGGGAGCATCTCTGCCTTGGCCTGCTGCCTAGAGACCTTTCCTTCTCCCTCTGTCCTTTCCTCTCCCCACAGGCTGGTTGGTTAGTAACTGAGAGAAGCCAAATTGGGTGCCACAAGTCCTGCAGAGGCCCAGGAGCCGGGCATCCAAAAGCAAAAAGCGAAAGTGAACTGAGGTCCCTGAACACAAAGCTTGCTGAAGCAGTTCGGGAGAAGGGGGATATTGGGGATGGCGAGGGAAGAGTGAAGCACAAGGCCCTACAAGGAGGTGGAGGGGAGCAGCTGTGCCCCACTTGGTCCTATGCAACGGGGAGGAAGAGGATTAGAAAGGAAAGACTGTCACCCCACCTCCTGCACACATACAACTTCTAGACCTGGCAACCTGTCCTGTCTTGGAGGGGCCTTGAGGGACAGAGCCTGGTGCTGTCTCCTCCCCTCTCTGGCCTCAGTTATCCCTCCTCTTCTCTGGTGAAGGGGTATACTTCCTGCCAGGTGCCTCCATCTCTGGCATCAGATCAGCCAAGTCATTCTAGAGCATTTTTAAAAATAACAAAACCTGAATGTCTTTCATTTCTGTACATGCTGCCTGAAGATTTGAAAATAATAAAATACCAAAATGAATAACAAATATGGTTCCTGATTTTACTTAGGCTGTCAGGGTAGGTGAGTCAGCCACAACCTAGGGAGGGGGAAGGGGGAAGGGAGGGAAGGGTAGAGTGTATCGGACAAGCAGTTTGCTGCTCAGACTTCCCCAGGACTTGAAGGCGGTTGGAGAGACAGACAGCAACTGGAGGCTTGGGACTCATTGTCTAGCTCCCTACAGCAGAGCCAGCTTCTTACTGAGAAAGGAATGGGGTCAGTGGGCCAGGCCATAGTGAGACTGCCAGGCCTGCCCTGCTGGGCTGGCTCAGCCAGCCTTAAGGAGGATGATCTAGTGCCTGGATGGGATTGCTTGAGCCCCAAGGGTAGAGAGCCAGATTAGACCCAGGTTGGAGAGGAAGCCACTGGCCTGTACCCAGGGACAGAAGGGGCCTTGCTTCCTTTGCTCCCCCAGGGAGTATGGTTCTCCTGGATATGAAGAAGTTCAGGGTTCAGTGTGAATGTCCTTGGGTCCAGAAGGGGAAGGCCACAGAGGGGATCACCCTCCCCAGAGAAACATGTTTTCGTATATGTAAACCTACATGCCAAGCCAATGTGCTTCCTTCTCCAGGGAAGATAATTTCAGTTATTGGACACAAAAGGTTCCAGATGTCAATTGTGAAGTGTGGGCACACGCTGACAGAGAAGACACAGCTCCGGACCTGGCCGAACAAACACTCTCCCCTCCCTAGTTCCTGAGTAAAGGGAAGAGATGGTGGGACCCCAGTCGTGTCCCTTTGGGGCCCCTGCCTGGCCTATGCTAGGGAGTAAGGAGTGAGTGTGGGGTTAAAAGGGATGAGGGTAGGGTGAGATCTCTATGGATTCCCATTCTGCTCACCTCCAGAATCTGGGATGAGGTGGGCATTGGTGCTGGGTAGAATTGAGATGGGGTCTGCAGGACGGGAGAGGGAGTGAATGTTAGAGCTAAAGATGTGTTTAGGAGCTCCCTGATGCCCCGATCAAGTGATATAATGCACTTCATTATGTAAAGGGAGAAGGGGAGGGAAAGGAATAAGCGTTTATATAACTCCTACTACGTGCCAGCCACTGTTAAGTGCTTTAAAAAAGAAGTCCAAATGTTTGAACCTCCCAACAACCCCGGGAGGGAGGTGCTGATATTTTGCAGTTGAAGAAACTGAGGCAGGTAAGGAGTGACGTGACTTACCCAGGGTCACACAGCTAGGAAGGTTCTGTGGTCAGATTTTTGAACTCGGGTCTTTTCTGATTTCAATGCCTAGCGCTCTCTTCACTGCGCCATCAGTCTAGGCTAGGGCCTGTGGGGCTTGCCTGGAGGCGGATGGGGTGGTGGGTCGGATAGAGATGGCTGGGAACGGTGGAAGCGGGGGAGGGGGCTTGGTCGGGGGAGTAGCTGGGATCTACAGCATTAGGGTGGGGGAAGCAGGACTGTTCCGGGAAACCGCAGCAGGTATCGCAGGGGGAGTGCCCGAGGAGAAGAGCTAAGTTCAAGTAGGGCTACAGGGTTGGTGTGGAGGCTACCCGGCCTGCAGAGAGTTAAGGGGCTGTGCGGTGGGGAGCCCTCCCTCCCTTCCCCCCCGCCCCCTCCCCCGCTCCTCAGGGCTCTGGGCGGCGGCCCCGCCCCCGTCGCCATGGGAACAGCCGCGGCGGCTCGGGCTGCGCCTCCTCCGTCTACTCCGGCAGGGCAGGCAGGGCCAGCTGAGCCGGGGTTGAGCGCACCGAGACGCGGGGAGAGCGAAGAGGAGGAGCGGAGAGGAGAGGGGTTGAGGGAGCGCACCGAGACGCCCTCACCCCCAGCCCTGGGTGAGGGAGGGGGCTGGGGGGGGGCAGAGGTGGGGCTGTAGGAGCCACGGGCAGGAAAACAGGGCTAGGGACGAGCACGGATGGGGAGGGGGCTGCAAGGGCGGGGCGAGCACAGACGAGGAAGGGGCGCTGCGGGGGTGACACGGAAGGGGCAGGGGACAAGGGGGCGACCTTGGGCCGAACAGGGTTTAGAGACTCGGGGGCACGTGGGCTGGAGGGTGAGTGGGTAGGAAGGAGGCGGGCAACGGCCTCTGGGCACCCGGGTGGGTGGGCACAGGCTAGGGTGGCTGGGATAGCTGGGGCAGGCTAGGCAAGGGAAGCAGCCCCCAGGTAGGTGAGGTTGGGCTGGGGCTGGACTGGAGCTGGGCTGGGGATGGGGATGGAGATGGCTGGGGGCTGGGGTGCGCGGGTGTAGGGTGTGGTGTGGGGCGAGATGAGGACCGGAGTGCCTGGCTCTCCAGGTTCTTCGTCTCATCCCTCATATGCACCGAGTCAGAGGGCTGGGGTAGGGGGCCAGAGGGGGAGGTAGGGAAGGGAGTACACGGGCGTGGGCAGGTTAAGAGATGAGTGGGTGGGTTTAAAAATAGGAAAATAGGTGTGGAGTGGGGTGGGATGTGATGAGGTCGCGGGATGGGTGAGGTGAGATGGGTGGGGACGTGGGTTTGAAGTGCTGTAAGGGGGTAAGGGGCTGGAGGTGGTTAGGGTGAATAGATGGGGGATGGAACCGTGATAAAATTGGGTGTACGAGGGCGGGGAGGGGAGGAGTATGGAAATGGTGTGATAGGAAAGGGTGCTGAGGTTCCAGGGACTGGGGGTGTTTGGAAGGAGGTGAGGTAAAATTGGACTTACGGGGTACAGACTAGCACCGAGATATGTGGTGTGTGGTTAGATGAGGGTAGCTGGGCGGGGTAAAGGAGAAAGGGATTAGGTGATGGGACGCGTTTGGGGGGATGGCGGGACTAGGT